TTTTTTAACACTTTCAATGTACAAAATTTACCCTTCTACAGTTTTATCATATGTAGATGTAGGTATTGTTCTCTGACAATTTCCTTTGTTTGTGCAAACGAGGCCCGCATGCAATTCACGATTCACGAAATGTTCGTGAACTGACGTGGACTCCCATTACAGGTTTGACATATCGGCATATGTAGGAACGTGTGTTGTATTGTTGTCGGGCGTGGTATTATGCGGTAGCTCCGACAGTTTAATTATTGTGTTCGTTCGTATATGTAATACGGACCTGCCTGGACTTCCACAAATAATTCCAAGACCAAAATTAGCCAAATAAATTAATTAATTTTAATTCTTGTTGTTTGTCGTAGCAAAAGAAATTGCTTTTCGATCTTTCTTTCTTTCCAAATCGATCTAACAGTTTTCAAGTTTTAGCGAGACTAACGAATAGCAATTCATTATGCGTGTTAACGGAATATGTGAAGAAAGAAATAAATTCACTTGTTTTACTTAAAAAGGTACCCAGGTTATTACCTAGGTACCTTTCTTCAAGAGTGTCGAATGAATAAGTGGCTTAGACGCGCATTGTACGTTACCAGAGAACGTATGGTGACATATTAATTGAATCACTGCCTCGCTGGCTGAGTGGTCGCAAGTGCGACTACCGGGCAAGGGGTCTAGGGTTCGATTCCCGGGTCGGGCAAAGTACTACTCGGTTTTAAAAAAAAAATGTCAGTTGTAGCATAGAGTCTGGAATTAAGCCCGGTATATGGCAATAGGTTCACCCCCTATTACACGGGACTCATAACATAAATAGTGAAAAGTGGGTGTTACATTGTACAGTGACATTAAGTGCCGTAATGTGCACCTCTGCCTACCCCTTTGGGGATAAAAGGCATGACGTTATGTGTGATTTATTGAATCAAAGAAAATCGTAACATGTGGCTAGCGAAGACCGACAATTTGAACTCCCTGCTCGACTCGAGTCGAACACTTGCGACCACTCGATCAAAAAAGCATTATTTTCTGCAGAGTTGACAAGTGTGGGAGAGCCATGCTTCGGCACGAATGGACCGGCTCAACCGGAGTGATACCACGGCCTCACAGAAAACCGACGTGAACCAACGCTCGCGTTGTTTTTCGTCGTGTGAGTGAGGTTACCAGATGCCTAAGTACCCTCCCCTTCCCCAATTTCCCTAATCCCTGAATTCCCAACGATCCTCAAACTCCTAATCCCCAAAAAGTCGGTAACGCACTTGTAAAGCCTCCGGTGTTCCAGGTGACCATGGGCGACGACGATTGCTTACCATCAGGTGATCCGTCTGCTCGTTTACCGGCTTATGACATAAAAAAAAGTAAAAAAATATGGACAAGTTACACCTTGTTATTTTTTCACACTCCAGTGCGACGACAGAAGTGCCTAGTTAATGTTGAAATGAAATAAAAATGTGAAGCTTTTAGTTATGTCATGAGTTGCGTTATAATTGGCCTAGTTCAAACCGTGTAGGTCGAGAGGTACAAAATAAACAACGGGAGCTTGTTACAAAATGTAATATGATATTGCATTTTATCACGGCTTTAATTTCCCGAAGGTAGGAGTGCAACCTATTTGTTAGGTTGTTGCACTGATTTTGCGGCTACAATAGTTTGTTTCATAATATAGAAATAGTTTATTTCAGAAAATGACGCTAATATTATTTTGTAACTAGCTGTTTGGTTCTGTTATTTCCTGATAATCTGTTGCCCGCGACTTCGTTCGTGTGTGAATTGTGATTCACAGCACCTCCCCCAGAGATGATAGCTTGATAATATGTAGTCTATACCCGACCTGTTAGTGATATTCATGAAATTTTTTAAGTAAATTCATTCAGAACTTTTTGAGCTCATCCCGGACATACATACAGACAAACAGACAAAATTTCTAAAAACCATATTTTTGTTTTGGCTTCGGTATCGATTGTAAATCACGCCTAAGGTATTCTTTTTAAAAAAATATATAATGTGCAGTTTTAACTTTCCTACGATTTCATTAAATGTAGGTATCGAATGGAATAGAATAGAGGTTCCTGGCAAATGCGTCATTTTCTAAGTGACTACGAAAATACGTATGTAAATGACTCAAGTAGTTCGAAACTCATACTCGACCAAATCTTTTAGTTTATATTAGGTTCCAGTAAAGAATGGTACGGCAATGTTAGCTTTGTGGTAGCGCTTGCTCGACGGGGGGCAGGGTGGTGCCACCCCTAAGTCGAACAAGCGCTGCAGGAGCAGGATATAGCTAGATGAGCATGGCTACTATTGTACCTGGTTGTTCGAATAATGCACTGATTGAGTGGGGCGGACAAACATTAGTCGATATTCGCATGCATTCGGCGTGAAAATGAAAAAGCCCGGTGGATAGAGTGTTTACCATAGGATTTTGTTTTAAAAGTACACTACTGTTAGCTGATAGTAGGTACGCATAATATGAAAGATGCGACCGCATAGACCGAACTGAAATGCAACACCTTGTTTTTAACACTCGTATGTTTCCGAACACGACGAAACTCCGTATGGAAAATTGCTTTTAACTTGGGAATTAATTAATAAACGATTGCGCCTCGTGTCCTCCACCCACTCCCATCCCCATCGCTCTCCTTCCTTTCCACATGATGCATGGCAAAAATTTTACATTGTTTTATTTTATGCTAACATCGACTGATTGAGGGGTGGGGGGAGAAGAGGGGGGCACCAATATACGGAATCGGATACCGGCAATACACTTTATGAAAGTATGTGTACATTGTTGGAATCGCATTTTTTGTGTAGATCAATTTTAATAACTATGGACGCTGTTCTGATTCAATTTGCAAAGTTGTAATCGGAGTAGTTTTAGTTCAAAATTTTCTGTTATCGACATCGTATTATGTATCGTTGTATTGTTATTTAACTGCAGTCACGGATTATTTGTTATTAGGGGAAGTTAAAGATGTATGTACGAATTTATTTATTTCGTGATTGTGAGGTAGGATGATCATTATATAGTTAATGACTGTACGGTCGAAGCATTGGCTGGATTATCGGCTTCTATTTAACGTGTCGCGATTTCAATTCCCGTGTCAACCAAAAAGTGAGCAAAACGACCATTACTGTCCCCGAGTTGGAAGTTCAGCGGTATTTCACCCCGTGTCTCGGAAAATACGAAAAGCAGTTGGTCTTGCGTCTGATCTCTCTCCGATTGTGTCGGTCTGCCATCCCATTGGGTTCAGAGAGTGGATTTTATAAAGTTATAAATAATAAATAATAAATAAAATTTATTTTCAAACATAATGATCTAGAAATGTACAGTTTTGCTTAAAGTTAAATAAAGTTCACAATATAAGGTGCCTGAACTAGGAAATCCTGTGTTTCAGGCGAGGTTAGGTAATAGTAGTAAACAATGTTATATAATCACTAGTACTTAAATGCTAATAAGTTAGAGTAAATTATGACAATATTTAATTATATGTATGCATACTGATGTAAAGTAATACTTAAATTCTATGCTTAATATGTATTTAAGAGTATGTATGTAGTATATAAATAAGAGATTAGGAGCTTACTTTAAGTATTATTTAGGAACTATTAATAACTTCTCTGTGTCTTCATAGGACATGTCTTGAAGGGCTTCCTTTAGAATTTGAAGTTAATGTAAAGGTCTAACGTTTCATTTACTTTATACGAATACGACTCTGAGATGTGCGATGACGCGCGAGACTCTCTATAGGCGTGAGATACTAATCTACCAGGGAGAGTTGAGACGCCTAGTGGGCTACTGCCCAAGAGTTGCACGTTGGAAATTTCTATGTTAATTCGCATTAAAACTATACTTACGTAGTGTACAACTTGTGACTAATGTGTGGTAACTTGGATAATGTATAGGAGAACCTATTTAAAACTGAAAAATACCTACTAATAGTTCTTGCCCGACCCAGAAATCTAATCTGACTATGAGACCAACAAAACAATAAGTATATGTAGATATCGTAAGTAGTAAAATGTGGTAAATAGAAATCAAGGAAAGAAAGAAAGAACGAAGAAAGAAAACATTGTATATGTCACACCGTCACAAACTACAATAACACACAATAACATTTTTAAAACAGTGAAGACGGCGTAGAAAGGCCAGAGCTCGACAAAGCGTGAATAGATACAAGAATTGAGTGAATAGATGTTAGATCATTTTCCCAACATTATTTCACCCCCTCTTCTGTATCTATTTACTCCGTTTTACCGTTATGTACTCTGAATCATCATGCGTATGAATTAATGTCGTGGTGGCCCGGCCATAACGACATTAATGTAGTTTATTATAAGTATAAAGATAATCCCTACATTCCTATGGCAAAGGATTTTTTTTAATTACCATGTAAGCAAAGTCGCGAGCGAAAATAGAGTATTTCATAAAAAGACGAAAACTTTATTTATTTACGACATAGATATATCATCAACAGCCTATAAATGCCCATTGCTGAGCAAAGCCTCTTCTCACACGGAGAAGTTTGAGCATTAATCACCACGTTTGCTCAATGCGGGTTGGCAATTTCAAACTTATAATCAGAAATTGTAAGTCCAGGTTTCCTCACGATGTTTTTCCTTTACCGTTTGTCAGTGGTGTCTAAATAATCTTAGAAAATACATATAACTCGGAAAAAGTCACATTGGTACTTGCCGTTGGTAGGTTTCGAACCCGCACCCTCATGCATGAGAGGCGGGCGTCTTAAACCTCCGGGCCATCACGACATAGATATATAACATATTCTTATCATATCAGTGAATTTTACCATAGTTTCTAAGGAGGTAATAATAAAATATACCAAAAAGGTTTTAATTTAAAATATGACACTTAATACTGGCCGTTTACATTTCAAATGGTTTTCTTAAAAATCCAACTTGACATAACAATTGAAACCTGTCATGTCCAGTCAGTCAGTGTTTAATTTTTTCTAATAATAGTTTAAAGTATTTGAAACAATTTTAAATAACTTAAAAATACTTTATATTTTGTGTTTTGTACGATTATTTTATTCAGCATCATGTTTCATCTAGCAAAGGTAAATTTATACCTATTATTTACTTTTAATTTTTATTGATTAATGTTTACATCTAAAAGTATATAACCTAACCTAATAAATAATAACAATTATGCTCTAACTAAGAAAACAAAAGAAAACTAAAAATAATGATGTATTCGTACCACTCCACACCACTTCAATGGAACCGCGCATACTTATAGTAAACTCTGACCGAAGAATAGACCAGCCCTCTGGTCATGACCATGACCGCGTTGACCAGGACTTTATTAAATGATTTTAAATAACCTGTGTGCAGTCGGACCTCACGGACCTAATGTTACAGCTGCAAACTGCTCAAAATATAATTACCGGCATAATAATATTTATGCCACTTGAGGTTTTCTCCCGTGGCAGCAGCTGAATTAGCCCAACCCGCCGTTACTGGAAGATGAGAAGGTGCTAAAGAGATAAAAGTTCCGTCCCACATCAAAGACCGAAAACTTCAGTCATTCAAAATGGTACCAACATTGAGTGACGGAAGTGCCTGAAACTAAAGGTGTAACTCCCATTCACCCACAGTCAATAGGCGGGCTAGCTACGCAGTATTGGTGCTCGTATTAATGAGGCTTTTATGCATCCAACGGAAAAGCGTCTTTATTTTCTCTGGAAGGTGTCTACTGTCTTGCGCCTACCAAGGATGCAGATTATGTGAAGCCTTTCTTTTGTGGAGGAGGTCCGTAGTCCAGCAGTGGACTCTCAGAGTTAATATAATAAAGTCTTATAAATTTAAATTTGTTTACTTACAGACAATTGGCTCGGTTGCAAAAGCTGCACGGCGTTATGTGCCAACGAAAAGTAAGCCTTTTTAATTTAGTTCTCATATAAAATACTTGCTTCGTATTTTCTAAAAGTAGTTGTGTGCGTAAATGTATGAAAGCCTATGAAACTTTCTCAGTACCATTTCTGTACTTTTGAAAAAGAAATACTTAAGTAAAATTATAAAAACTGCCTTTGAAAAACTGATTTCTAAAAACCAAAAACTAAAATTAACAAAAATTAAAAACTTAAACTCAAAAAATAGGTATAATTAGTACCTTTTTTTAAGGGGGGAAAAATCATCCAATGACTTCTCCCGCCCTAGTGTCAGACTCTTACTGACTAAAAACCACCCCGTTCCTACTCCTGGACCTCGAGCCGGAGCCCCGGCAACCCGTTAAGTCTGCCGCGGCTCCGTATCGGCATTAGTCCTGTTGGGCCCCATCCGTCGTGGTGTGATGGCTCTTTGAACGCGCGCGGAACGCGACGCGCCGTACGCTCGGGCCCTGGTTCTGGTCGGGCGGCGAGTCACCCGTGCTCGCCGTCCGCAGGCCCATGCTTACGGAGGCCGGAGATGGTCTCGCGATTCCCGACGCCCGGAATGTCTCTCGCGACGGCCAGGGCGTGAGGAGGTTCGTTCCCTTACGCGATCCGCCTCCTCCTTAGCTAGCATGACTGCTTTGCAGAAGGAGCAGACGGCATCCTAGTCCAAGTATTATTAGTACCTACCGATAGGTTACCCACCCAAGAAGTTTAAATTATTTGAATAATTATTAAAGCTTTATTGATACTTAATATTAAGCTGCTTATAATTTTGTGACCATTAAGTTATATCATTTTGAAAGGAGCTTATGGCACCTTGAAATGAGCTTATGGCACCGACTTCTACCGCATCAGTGGTTGGGTAACCTATCAGTACTAATAATAGTTATTTTTTGTTTTTTAGTTAATACTTTTTGTTTGTTATTAGTTTTTGGTTTTTTGAAAGTCAGCTTTTTAAACGCAGATTTTACATTTTTAACTTACCATTTCTTGTGTAAAGCTACATATACCCGTTTTGCCACTTATAATCCACATAGGTACAAAGTCCTTATCAATACAAGTTATTTGTATAACTTGTATTGGGCTTGTGTCCAAACACAAGGTAGTTCTCCTTAATAATTACACTTCTTCATCATCAGATCCTTAATAACAGTCCCACTCCATCTAGGTATAAAGTTTTCATCAATATAAATTAATAGAGTCAATAGCTAGGTAGTTACTGTAAACCGTTGAGGAGTTCCCTCGACTGTCCGCTCTATCATCAGGTCGACTCCGACCCTTGAAACATTGTAGTATTTAAAAATCTTTATTGAAAAACATAATAGACGTATTACATGCCCCCACTATTTTAAAGTTCCTCTAGGTTACTCTAAGATTCCATCATCGAATCCTGTCCCTATGAAATTGGGCACGGCACCTTTCAAATAAAATAAGATTTTTCGAAATCGGGTCACAAATGGCGGAGTGATCAGCGAACAAACAAACAAACAAGAAAACAATTAGGTGAAGATAGTACCTCCTCCTTTCTTTTGAAGTCGGTAAAAAGAGGAAACCAGTTTGCAGTTCCTGTTGGTTCATCTTACAAACTGAACTTAAGATAATATAAAAGAGCAATATTGGACGGTACTATCGACCAGGAGGCTTACTCTTGAATCCAATTCCGATCGATCGACATTAGTATTGTGAAATTTCGTACTCTCGAGTTACGACACTAGCCCCCATTGCATCCGTATTGCGTGAATATTTAATGAACTAAATGGTATTGAGTTTGGCTTTATATTCCGTATTCTGAATGCTATTTTATCATCTACGATTGGGGTTGTATAGTTTTGACATTAAATAATTATTGAGATTTTTTGCATTGGCATTGAGATTGGTTTCAAGAGTATTCACTCTGAACTGTTAGTGAAAACTCGAACTGCTTATAAGCAGTATGAACGCTCAGTATTATTACCTATATTATATTACATCTCATGACCATGATCAAATCAGTTTATTTAACTCGTCGAGTACCGGTTTTGTAGACACAATTATAGAACAATAGGTTGCGGTCACCGGTGACCGCTTGGTGTTTGACAGTTTAAGCCAACATCACACGGCGTATTTTTATACGCGCAGACAAGGCAAGTATTCAAGCAAACGCGTCTTCGCCGCGATAGCATTGATGACCGACTGGATTGTTGCGATCTTGCATTGATGAAATGATAATACTCGCTTCACAAGCGAGTCTGTGCGTGTCTTCTGCATGTATACGCACTGTAGTCGCTCGTGATACACAATAAAACACAAACATAACATACAATTCCTCATAAACAGCCCATAAGCCTATAATCCCACGGAGAAGGTTTGAGCATTAATCACCACGCTTGCTCAATGCGGGTTGGCGATTTCATACTTATAATTAGAAATTATAGGCTCAGGTTTCCTCGCGGTGTTTTCCTTCACCGTTTGTCAGTCATATTGATACTTGCCGTTGGTAGGTTTCGAACCCGAATCCTCATACATGAGAAACGGGCGTCTTATACCACGACACCATTGTAAAACAATTACAATGTAGAAATGTTCCATCATATTTGATAATGTTCAACTCTTAGGCTGCGCGTAACTTAACAACGTTTGTGTTATTACGTTTTAGCGTATAAGTTTAGCAACATAATTTATTAACATAAGTCCATAAATGAAGTAAAGTAAAAAAACAAAACAATAGAATTGGCGCGTACGCTGAGCGCGTAAAAAAGATTATACGTAGTCTTACGTTGTTCCTTGGACTTGACGCTAAAATTTCCTTTGTCAAGATATCTAATATTATAAATTCGAAAGTTTGCATGTCTGTTTATTGTTACTTTTTTTCATAAACGGCTGTAAGTATCAGTATGAAATTAATTTGGAAAAGGGATAGATTATGGCCTGAAGTAACACATAGACTACTTTTTACCTCATCGGAACGCGGGCAAAGCCGGTGGCAGAAGTTAGTATTATGTACATTATCTAAGTAGGTAGCATTGATTACTTGGTCACACAAGAAGACGGTGCGCGCCGTCGCGTCATGTGTCTCGCTGTGTCGGTAGCCAATCACTGTAGAATACAACTAGTATAGTAGGTATAATGTCATCTTGGCCTGCTCATTAAGGTATACAGATGTTCAGTAGCCATAAATTCTTAAGTAATAAAGACATGATGATTTTTTACTACTCTTTCTTTTAGATTTTAATCGTACTGCTTCGTTCACAATCCATCATCACTGCCACGACTGTGTGGTCATTGGAGCTGGAGGAGCTGGGCTCAGAGCCGCTGCTGGCCTCGCTCAAGCTAGTTTCACTGTAGCTTTGGTGTCCAAGCTGTTTCCAACTCGGTCCCACACCATCGCTGCACAGGGAGGCATGAACGCCGCTCTTGGTAAGTTTAAATATAATCCACTATAATTTGCGTTTATTTATAAAAATATATTGTATGGAGTACTTTAGATGTCAAATTAATCCAAAACTTTTAATTTATTCAGGAAGTATGCACAAAGACACCTGGAAGTATCATTTTTATGATACCGTCAAAGGCTCAGATTGGCTGGGCGATCAGGTAATCTAATTGAAAGAACGTCGGGTACAATGTCTGTGAATTTTTAAATACAAAAATACATAATATCAATACGTCATATTTCAGGATTCAATTCATTATCTGACACGAAATGCTCCAACATGCGTTATAGAGCTGGAAAACATGGGTATGCCATTTTCAAGGACAAAGGAGGGAAAGATATACCAAAGATCTTTTGGAGGCGGAACTATAAACTTTGGTAAAAGTATAGCCAAACGAACATGTGCTTGTGCCGACCGGTACTTTCTATTTTCAACTCTCATCATCATTGACACAGTCCACTACTGGACTCTGTGCCTTCTTTATAAAAGAAGGAGTTTTACATAATGTTCACACTTGGTAGGTAGATTGGAGGAGAAAAGATGGAGGATCATTTTTTCGGAGAACGCAACTGATTTGCTAATTATATTGCCCCTTAGTCAGCTCCCATAACACCTATGGAAAGAGTATACACAATGTTTACTACTCTGATATCACCACAGGTTGTTGACCAAATAGAAATAAAAATAACTAAACCAGAAATAAACAGAATCCATTATACGGCGAGATATAAAACAAATGGTGTGGTTTAACGGTTGATATTGAAGCGTTGTTAAAAACTACGCAGGAAATGCATTTACGCTTGTCATTTTTTTCTGTTTGGTTTTTAAAATCATTAATATTTGATTATAGCTTTTAGCAATTCTGTTTATTTCAAGTTAAGTTATTATTTTTGTTAGTTAGCAACGCATGTAGAAGTTTGATGAAATAATTTTAATATTAATTATAAGTAACATACAGAAATAATATTTATTTGTAACGAACGCACATCACGAATCTGGATAATTGAAATTAATAAATGAAGTGGTTATGCTCATTTTGGCATTAAATATCTGCGGTCTCTACACCATTGATGTCACATCATCTGTCCTTATAGAGACCATCGCACCACAAATTGCATTAAATTCTATCGACGCTGTCGCTCTCATGCAGTGACTTATATAAACTTATGTTGAATTTAACGTTAAATTCATTTAATACAAGCTTTGTTTCAAGTCAGTTTTCTGTAAGGTCGTGGTATCACTCCCAACTTGCCATTCGTGCTAAAGCATAGCTCTTCCATGAAAGCGTGGTTCTCTAAATGACTGACTTCCACAATAATAAATAACCTGTTCGCTTTTACAGTACCGGCCACGCTTTACTTCATACTTTGTACGGTTACTTAACGCAATTTAAGCACGTCGACCCATTCTATGAGTATTTTGTGATGGACATCCTTGTTCAAGAAGGGGAGGTAGTTGGATGTCTTGCCATTGATATGAATGATGGCAGTCTTCACAGGTATCCAGTACCAGATACTAGCTTTTATTCACATTTGAATTAGCCTATGTTCTTCGCCATACTCAGTTTTATTTATGCAAACTTTTTAAGAATATTGATATAGATAATGCGTAACAAGGAAAGAAAGTTAGTTTTGGGATGCAAAATTGGGAATTTAAACAACCTTGCCATTGCCCTGTTCTATACTTTCTGATGTGGAACTTATTCATGTTTTATTCTATGTAGTAGTCACAGTTGCTAAAGAAGAATAATTTATATTTCGATTAGGTTCCAAGCAAAGAACACGATAATAGCGACTGGTGGCTACCCAAGGATGTATTTCTCATGTACTGCTGCCCACACTTGTACTGGTGACGGTACAGCAATGGCCACCAGAGCTGGTATTCCACTTCAGGATATGGAGTTCATCCAGTTTCACCCGACTGGTAAGCGAGAAAGATAGGTACACTAGCTACCAATGCGTGGTTTAACGTGATAGTAGGTGATGGTGATGGTTTAATAAAAAATACTTTTTTGTTAATAATAAATAGACCGTCTGCCAATTTTTAGCTTTCTACCAGGAAAATTACGAAATAATCAACACAAACTTCCACCCCCTTTGTTAAGATAGTGAGGGCTTTAAAAGAGATAAACAATAGTCTATACCACTTTCTAGAATGAAATGCTTTTTATCATATACATAAGTGCATAGTTGAAAGGATAGTACCTCTCAACGATGTATCTTGACTTTATAATCATGCCATTTCGTTGCTCCGTTTTGCAGTGAAAGACAGACAAACACACTTTCTTATTCATAACATTAGAGTGGATTGGATGAACAATTTCATAGATGACGTGATTCAAGACGGCCTATACAAATCCTACGAGCCAGTGATTACTGTCAGCATGGCATGCCGCAGCCTGCTGTTGCATTCTGCTGAAAGTCCAGCTACTCTGATTTAAATTATCACAATTCCTATAATAACGTTTTTACAAATAATATATACTTTTTTATTATTTTTTTTTTAAAATCGTTGCCCCACCCTAGGATTTTCTCCTCATGTTGTGGGTGCGTTTACAAACATAAGTTCACATACTCATGACATCCAGGCCGGAAACAACAATCTGTGGATCACACAAAGAGTTGTTTCGTGCGGAAATCGAACCCGCAACACGTTGCGCGGCAGTCAGTTGCTCAACCACCGCGCCAACCGGTCAGTCAATATTGACATTCCAGTATCATCTTCGCTGAGTGTGCCGTAATGACACTGGCGTAATTATATTTTTTTTATGTAATCTGTGAGTTTTTTTTTTTTTTTTTTTTTACGACAGTTAAATACTTAGGCATGCACCTTGACAAAAAACTCACTTGGCAGGCTCATATAAAGGCTAAAAGAGACCAAGCAAATAAAAAGTTTGTGGAACTATATTGGCTTATAGGTAGGCAGTCTAAACTAAGTTTGGAAAATAAAGTCTTTATCTACAAGTGCATCCTAAAACCGATTTGGACATACGGTGTACAGCTCTGGGGATCGGCAAGCCACTCAAATATTGAGATCCTCCAGCGCTACCAGAACAAAGTGCTAAAGGTACTGGTTAATGCACCATGGTTCACACGAAACACGGAGGTGCACGAATATCTGCAGATTCCGACAGTCAAGGAAGAAATAAAGAGTTCATCTGTGTCTTACAAACAACGCCTTGGGCGACACATTAACCATCTGGCTTCACAGCTCATAAACTCAGACAACTGCTTATCTCGACTGAAAAGAAAGCAACTAGCGTCTACATAAACCCATTTTTAGGGAAAAAAGAAATAGAGTTAGCATGTCAAAGGATGTGCAACTCTCCAAAGTCCCAAAAGCACGTCATCTTATCTGATTAAAGCCGTATCGGCTGATTGTAGATCTGAGGAAAAAGAAAAAAAAAAAAAGCGATCACTTCGTCAACGCAAACAGACGTGCGCTTTGATGCAATAATTTTAAAATAAATTGACAATTTTTATTCAGTGACCTACTTGTCTTCCGCTACGTGTTTTATAACACTAAGCAAACTCAAATGTTTTACTATCTATAAATTATAAAGAAATGTATAAGTAAACGCTTGAACTTTAAAAACTATGGAAAGCAGCCCCTTCAATAGAAGCGGACTAACGCGCCGCTCACCACCGCCGACACCAACCCAAACTCCGAGCCACAGCCAAGACGAGAGGATGGAAGTGATCTCAACATCAGACCTACAGCACTGGATGGGATGCATTGAGACCCAACTAAACGAGATATGTCATATAACTGGCGAAGGCAAGCTAAACTCGGATCAAAAGTTAAAGGTGAGCTCCCTATGTCGCAAAATTGGGCATAATGTTGGCCAACTAGCCTGCAAATATCAATCGCTCAAACAAAAAGCCACTCAGACGCACTATTCCCTCCAAGTCCTTAAAGAACATCAAGCCCAAGAAGAAAGTCTGACTGCAGAAATTAAGCGGACCATACAAGAATCTTGTGGGAAAACCACCATGGAAACCACTACTTTTGCAGACATGGTGAAAAAAGGAGCCAATGATTTTGTGCGCCCAATAAATGTCAATTCCGTAGCGATTTATCCCAAGGATAACTCGAAATCAAGTGATGACACCAAAAGCTTGGTTCAAAAAATCGTGTGCCCCGAGGAAATGAAAATAAAAGTTCGTGGAGTACGAAGGGTTCGGAATGGAGGTGTTATCATCAGCACGAATTCAAAGGACGACGTCGAAAAACTGATGAAAACTGTGCAGTCATCAAACTCAGACCTAACAATCAACGAACCGCAAAAAAGAAAACCCCGCATAATCATTATAGGAGTACCGACATCTATACCAGAATCCGAAGTCTACAACTGCATATTTGAGCAGAACGTGGCCGACAAAATTCCATCCATGACCAGGGAGTCATTTATGTCTTCAATAAAAACAAGCCATAAATCCGGCAGAAAAGATACTGATCATCATAACCTGATTATCGAAGTCTCAGCTGCTATACGGAAAGCACTCATCACCCAAGACCGAGTTTTCATAAACTGGACCTCCTGCCCGGTAAGAGACTTCACATTGGTGACTAGATGTTTCAATTGTCATCAATACGGCCACGCAGCTAAATTCTGCAGAAATCCAGTTGTAACCTGTGGACATTGCGCTACTGAGGGCCATTCAATCAAGGATTGCCCGAAAAAATTAGACCCACCGAAATGTGCCTCGTGCCTGCGATTCAACAAACCATCTAATCACAAGACAGGAGAACAAGATTGCCCAGCAAAGAAGGCGGCCGAATTCAGGTATATAAATTCGATCGATTTTGAAGGCGCCTAAGAGCGCCATTGCAACATTATTATTAGCACTAAATTAAAATTTTAAAATCGATACTACATGAATCAAAATCTAATTAATGAAGTAGAACATAGTTTTCCAACAATCACAAAAGCATGCGATGTGGAGGACTGCGAACAGTATCTTTCGGATTTTAAAAACTCTTTTAAAATAGTCACTCAAAACATTCGCAGCATCTACAAAAATATTGATAGTTTTCACACTTTTTTGCACAGAGCTAACCTAAATTTTGACGCTATGGTTTTAACAGAGTGTTGGTTGTCAAATAGAAACGAAAATATACCTCAAATACCGGGATATCAGACTTTCTGTAGTAAATCAACATATAATCAAAACGATGGCGTCGTAGTATATATCAAAGAAACACTCGAAGCCACAGTTGAAGAAACAACCGTACACGACTGCAACTGTGTCACGGTAAAAATAGGAAAGAATGTTGCACTATTAGCTATGTATAGATCCCCTTCCTTTAGAAACACTGATAGGTTTCTGCTTTCCCTAAATCAGACCCTTACAGCCCTAACACCCTTCCCGAACATAATATTAACTGGTGACATAAATCTAAACATTGGTTCTGACATTCTTGACACAGGGACCAACAACTATTTAGATCTCTGCTCCTTTCATGGGCTCCAGCCTGCACATACCCTGCCCACACATCAAAGTGGTTCTTGTCTGGATCATGTGATGATTAAGTCTAAATTAGCATATATAACCTTTGTCACTAACTCAACAATTACCGATCACCATGCTGTAATACTAACAATAAATTTAACGTCCCATAAGCAAAAAAGAATTCTGACAAAGTCCAAATTGAATATGAACCGTCTTGAAAATGATTTACGCAACACAGATTTTAACCCAGTTTATAGTACCGCTGATGCAACTCTGTCTTTATCCTACTTAATAAATATTATACAGCAAGCTATTTTACGAAATACCACCACATCGAGAAATAGCAAAAATAATCACAATTTAAAACCGTGGATTACACCCGGCCTCCTTCGCTGTATAAGACATAGAGACAAACTTCATAAAAAAACTAGACAATTTCCAGATAACGCCATACTCCAACTAACATATAAAAGATACAGAAACTTCTGCAATAATCTCTTAAAAAAGATTAAAACCGAATACGATAGAAGCGAGTTGCAAAAAGCCGGAAACAATACCAAATCACTGTGGAATCACATAAAGTCTGTAACTTACTTAGCCAAACAGCGTGAATCAAATTCAGGCCTTTTGTGCAGTGATAACACACCACTGATATCAGCTAACAATGTAAACAACTACTTTGTTAACGTAGGTAAAAATCTTGCAGACCAGATAGTGAGTAATTCGCCAAGCACACAGTCGCCTGTGCATTTTACAATTACAAACCAGAAAAAATCCTTTGTGTTGCTTGATACAGATGAAAATGAAGTAGCTAGAATAATCTCTGGACTAAAAGATGACTGTGCGGTCGGCTGTGATAATATAAGTAACAGAATAATAAAACGTTGTAAGAGTATACTAGTGCCCCTTCTAACCTACATATTCCGCTTATGTCTATCCAAAGGAACCTTTCCTACATCCCTAAAAAAAGCTTTAGTAATACCTATCTTTAAATCAGGAAACAAAAAGCTTGTAAGCAACTACAGACCAATATCCATTCTGCCCTCGTTATCCAAAATATTAGAAAAAATTATAAACACCCGTTTAGTAAATTATCTGGAGAAAAATGGCCTGATTTCACCCAGGCAATTCGGCTTCAGATCAAAACTGTCTACAGCGGACGCTGTTCATAGCCTAACTAATTTCGTATCTGAAGAACTTGGTAAAGGCAATCACTGCTTAGCAATTTTTATAGACCTAGCCAAAGCATTTGATACTGTTTCTATTCCTCTTCTTTTACATAAATTGGAAGCAATAGGCATAAGGGGTACACAACTAACACTACTAACAAACTATCTAAATGATCGCTCTCAATGTGTTCGAATTGATACGACCACAAGTGAAGACCGAGGGAACCATGGTTTTGGATTACCACAAGGTAGTATTCTCGCCCCGACCCTCTTCCTTATTTATATTAATGATCTCTGTAATTTAAACATACAAAACGGAAAAATAATATCATATGCAGACGACACAGCGCTTATTTTTACCGCAAAAACAATCACAGAACTCTATGAGAACGCTCAGAGGGAATTTAATTCTGTAAATAACTGGCTAAACTACAATTTACTAACACTAAATGTTGACAAAACAAAGTACTTGCTCTTTTCCATGCGTAAAAATCAAACTAACACTACTAACGATGAACTTACAGTGCATAAATGTAATGCCCTCTCGACATACCCCTGTGAATGTCCTAAAATCCTCAAAACTCGTCACATAAAATATCTAGGCATCATTATTGATGACACACTTTCTTTCCGGCCACACATTGAGAGTTTGGTATCCAGAGTACGCAAACTTATGTTTGTATTTAAAATATTGCGAAAAATTGCCGATACTAAATTAATAACTCAAGTGTACATGGCACTATGTCAGTCCATTATCACTTATTGTATTACCTCATGGGGTGGTGTACCTAAAACCTCTATGCTGTCTTTGGAACGAGCACAGAGAGCAATATTAAAAGTAGCACACTCCTATCCTTTCCTTTTCCCCACAGAACAACTATACAAATCCTGTAAGGTACTAACTGTAAGGCAACTATACATAACGCAAGTAATATTGAAGCAACACACGCAGATCCCTTATGATACCAACACTGTAAAGAAGAGACGAAATGATATAGTTTGCAGTTCGCACTCGACCTCAAAATTTATGTACAGTAATAAATTCTATAGTTTTCTAGGACCCTACTTATATAATAGGCTAAATAAGCAACTTTGTATTTACAACTTGAATTGCTATCAATGCAAAAAACGTGTCAGCACATATTTGCAACAACTGACTTATGACCAGACCGAATTTTTGCTGACTGTATGTAAATAAAATTAGAAACAAGTTAATTTATTAAGTGATTAGGTATACATTTCTATATATAGGTAAAATTTGAGTAATCAAATAATTTAATATAAGAATGATTATATAATTATTGTTAATTAGACCTTAAGTTCTCTATTCTAAGCGGTTTTTATTGCCTGAGGTACAGGATTCAAACCTAGTTCAGGCACATGGAATAACATAGCAGCATATAGAATTAAGACATACGAAATTTCTGTTTATATTTTTTGAATAAATTATTTTATTATTTTATTATTATATTATTATTATTTTATAAAAGCTGTGCATGTGCCATGTATACAGGTACGAAAGACTAGCAAATGTAGAGTTAGGGTTGTGGCTTTTGAGTAAGTAACATATAGTAAAGGTGTATAAAATAGTACTTTAAATTTGTTGAAGTGGGTAGTAATAGAGCGAATAATATAGAGCAAATAAACGTTGAAAGAAAGGCGGATACAGTCTTATGAAACAACGGCTGTGGTACCTGCAGTTTAGCCATTTAGCGCTTGTCTACATTTAGAATACAAAAAATTACGTCAATTCCATATAATTTGGATTACATAGAATTGACGTAAATTTTAACACTTGTCAGTGTCATACCTAAAAAATAAAAAAATTAAGTAAAATTATTATTATTTCGTTATAACCTAAAAGCAAAATTTTATATGTGTTGCTTAGGAACCTTTAAAGAAGTGTTACCTCTGGACTGTTTTAATGGTTCTCTCATTTTTTTTTATTTTTTTTAAGGGGCGAAAATCATCGAATGACTTCTATAGCCTGGGTGAAGAGGGAGGGAGTGTTAGACTCTGATTAAAACCACCCCATTCCTATTCCTGCCCTTGGAGCCGGAGCCCAGCTTCCATTTAAGTCCTCCGCGGCTCCGTACATTAGCAGCATCAGCACTATTGGGCCCATCCGTGATGGCTCTTTGAGGTGCGCGTGGAACGCGAGGCGCCATACGCTCGGGTCTGGTTACCTGTGCTCGCCGACCGTAGGCCCGTGCTTACGGTGGCCACCCCTTAGATCGTTCCGTGATCCCCGACGCCCGGAGTGTCTTTCGCGACGGCTGGGTTATGAGGGGGTAGTGCTTCGTTGCCTCACGCGCCCCGCCTGCTCCTTAGTTAGCATGACTGCTTCGCAAAAGGAGGAGACGGCATCCCAGTCCCCCTAGCTCCGCATCATGGCCTGGACTAGGGCCGGATGCGAGAAGTCGCCGTCACCGATCACATCTCTGAGGGCACGGTGGTACTCAGCCCACGCAGGGTATGCTCCTACCGTGTGTTCAACCATGTCCTTTGAGCGGTCCTCGCAGTGATGACACCCAGGCGTTTCTTCCCGCCCTATTAGACATAGCAACCTAACGAAGCTCCTATGTCCGGTGAGGACCTGCGTCAGATGGTAGGTGAGGACACCGTAGCGTTTTGGATGGTTACCCCAGAGCGCCGTCTAGTACGATTTTTATATACATACTTATTAAGGTTTTTACACAATTGCGCCATCTATCGGATGGTTGTCGTATTACAAGTGCGTTAGAGGGACACTAGGGTGTATAAAAAAAGGATACCAAATTATTTCGGTCGCCGTCCGCCGTTTCATTAAAAAACTTATAGATGGCGTTGAAAGTACACAGAACTGACACCTTGGTATTTAATTAGAAAGTTATTAAATACAAAATTATTTCAAGAGTATAAGGATGCTTTTGAAAAATGGGAGTACAGATCGACATTTTAGAGATGTTTCGTGTTTCGTCCCGATAGTGATCAAAATGTAATTTTTGTTTACAGGTCGTGGAGTAGGACCTAAGAAAGATCACGTCTACCTCCAGCTCCACCATCTTCCTGCGGAGCTGATAAAGGAAAAGTTACCCGGGATTTCAGAGTCAGCCTTCACGTTTACAGGGGCTGATGTATACACGCAACCTGTACCCGTTATACCCACTGTGCATTACACTATGGGTGGCCTTCCTATCAACTACAAGGGAGAGGTAGGTTCCTAACCTATTCCCATTCAGGCAAACGAGCATTGTGATTGAGGTTACCGAAGGCCCATTGTCGAAAGTTGAAGTCTTACTATGTGGCACTCCACCCAATTGTTTATTTCACAAAAATATACATACTACCGAAAACACCTAAAGGATGGAATGGACCCATCTCCCAGATAACGAATAAATACAATAATATTAATTATGATAAGAGCACTCTATGGAGTATAGAGTTGATTCTATTTAATTTTAATGTGTTACAGGTCTTAATGTACCAGGGGGGCAAAGATTGTACAGTACCGGGACTGTTTGCTGCCGGTGAGGTGGTAACGAATGCTCATGGAGCCAACAGGCTGGGTGCTAACTCAATTCTCGACGTCGTTGTATTCGGGAAATCAATCGCTGACACTATAAAGAAGAACTATAAACCAGGTGACAAACAAATGACCTTGAAAGATGTAAGTACTGTTTATGGTTATGACTATACTAAAAGAATATTTAATTTACAATGCCTACGATTTATTCACAATTTCCTCACCTGTGTCATCCACAAATCTGTTTCCTCGAAGCAGTCATGTTAGCTATGAAGGAAGTGGGGCGCGTGAGGCTGCGAATCACCTCCTCACAACTAGGCTGTCGCGAAGGACTAGGCGTCGGGGATCACAAGATGATCTCTGGCCACCAGTGTAAGCAAGGGGCTGTGAACGGTAAGAATAGGTGGCTCGCTGCCCGATCAGAACTAGACCCGAGCGTACGGCGTGTCGCGTTCCAAGTGCCTTATAGAGCCACCACAAATGGGGCCCAGTAGTGCTAACGCCGATATGGAGCTACGGAGGACTTAAGGGTTTGCCGGGTCTGTGGCTCAAAGAGTGAAAGAGATGATTTTAATCAGTAAAAGTCTGGACTCTGGAAACACCCTATCGCGTCACCCAAGGCGGGAGATATCATTGGATTATTTCCTCTTACAGAAAACGCTATTTTTTTGTATTGACACGGCTTTTTTATTTGTTTTAGAATTTGTGTGATTGTTCTCTTGACAATTTTGATAAAATTAGAAACGCGAAAGGCTGCGTTACAACCCATGAACTGAGGGAAGCCATGAGACACACAATGCAGAACAAATGTGGAGTATTCAGAGACGCAAAACTATTGAATCAAGGTAAGTTTTGGTAAATAAAACAGACTCTTTTATGTATATTATCGATGTAAAATGAATGAGTAATCATCATAATAGAGCCACAAGACGTCCACTGCCAAACATAATATTCAGTAATAATGTTGATTAAATTAAAACTGCGTAGGTTACTTTGTTACTTACGCACGTTACTTTGTTTCAAGAATGACTGTCATTTATTTTTATTCATAGACACGCATACATTTCTTCATAGATAATAGGGTAGTTCTAGTAAAAATCTCCCGATTAATTTTGATCACGGGCCACCAATTTGCCAAAATTGGACTTGAATAGCCCACTACACAGGAGATATTATTATAGTACATTAAATGTATCATCATTGTCTGCTAACACATATATTTTTCATTATTTATCAAACTAAATTAGTTATGGCTTAGTTTTTATTCCATAAACAGATGGGTGAAGGCCGATGTTATATCGGATCTTAGACCAATAGTTTATTGAGACTGACAGTATCGCACACGTATCGTGATCATATACCGTAACTTTGCTTCCACAGCGGATGAGGAAATTCAAAAATGGTACAAGGCTTATGAAGATATCCAAGTAGTGGACAAGCGATTGAACTGGAATACAGACCTAATTGAAACTCTGGAGTTACAAAATATGCTGCAGTGTGCTGTGCAGGTGGTGGCTTGTGCTAAAAATAGGACAGAGAGCAGAGGAGCCCACTTTAGGGACGATTTTCCTAAACGAGAAGATGAATTTGACTACAGTAAACCAACTGAGGGCCAGGTAAGAAAAAAAATTCTGTGTTTCTGTGATTTTTCGCAAGCAATCCTATTTTACCGTGTTCATAATTAAATAATCTTTATTTTGATTTAAATTTAATTAAATTATCAGACCGTTGCAAAATCCTACTATCAATTTACCTGTTTATACCTGGCAACCCGAAGGTTATGACTGGAATACAATAGGCAACCTAACGTTTTCATATTCTATGGGCTTCATACTTTCGATTGGAATGGAATTTGTTTAACTCGTCGAGTACCGTCATTATAGACACAATTATAGAACAATAGGTTGCGGTCACCGGTGACCGCTTGGTGTTTGACAGTTTAAACTGTAGTCAAACCGGTGAACATTTGAAAAAAAAATTTTATTAATTATTAATTAGTCATGTTCTGGACTGAAATTTATTAGGCAACCCATATGGAATATAATTATTGACATATTCTATTGAATATAAAATATGTTTCATCAAATAAGCATCTCGGTGAAGGTCGTACAAGGCGGGATCTTAGACCAATAATACTATGAATTAGACTTTTTCACTTTTTATTTGGACGTTCCAGAACAATCGTAACAAAATATAACGGTACATAGACTGATAAACGAGTTGACCTTTTAAATAGTATCGACTATAATGTATAATGTTTTTGAGTTTGGCGTTAGGTATATTGCGAATTCTGAATGCCATATTTTAAGTTACGATAGGGGTTGTATAGTTTTGACATTGAATAATTATTAAGATTTTATTGAATTGAAATCAAATTGACATTGATATTAGTTTCAACAGTACCCGCCTTGTTCGGGGAAAATAGGAAGACAGATGTATCCCACGTACCACTTATACCGCTTATTTCTAGAAAAAATGCTTTAGACAGAAAGCGTAAAATTCACTTAAATTGTAGATACTTATTAATTGACTTATTAATGTATTACGGTATACATTTATCTTTTAAAGTAATTACTTTACTTTCAGAAAAAGAAACCATTCGCTCAGCATTGGAGGAAGCATTCGTTGTCTACATTAGACCTGAGTTCAGGCAAAGTAGAAATAACTTTTAGACCAGTCATCGATAAGACTATGAATGATGAAGTCAAGTGGATTCCTCCCGTACCTAGAGTCTATTGATTTATTTTTTGCTGTACATTTACTCTAAATAGAAGGAGAGGTGGCGCTAGTTTAAAAAGTGATAATATCAGCACATATTATAGTAATAGTTATCTCCTCATATGTGTGAGCGGTGAGCGTCAACCGCTCAACTACAGTTGCAGTCGGGAGGTCGAAAGTTGCCTGAAAATTCTTTTAGTCTTTTTATTATTCGTTAAGTTTTGTGAATCAGGTCTAAAGATGATCCTTAACTAAAACAAAGGTCAGCCACTATTCGTTCGTTGTTTTAAACGTCAGTAGAGCAGATTAAGATTGCGTTGATATGAAAGTAAAAGCGATTATGACCTCGTGAAATTTGTCCAGTTGAATACTTTGTTGTTAGAATAATAGTAAAACGAATCAGCTGCAAGTTTGCGAAGCACTACCATAAATATGTTGCCCGCTTGGTATATATTTCACAGTTTTAAGTCACTTCAACTGATGGATAATTACTATCCTTATTAAAACGTTATTTTAAATTTTATTATTTATATATTACGTTGTATTATTTTCTTCCTGAATAAAACATTTCATATTTATTAATGTACGAAAATACAATTATGAAACGTTTACTTTTCTATATAATTACTTAAAGAAATAGTAATTGTATTTCACATAGAAAGATGGCGCTAGTATTGTGTAATTTTTTGTACATAAATAAAATTATGATTTGTTAAATTTGCATTATATCTGACTTAGTTACTTTTGTTTTAAATCGTCTAAAGAATGTTCTCACGAAATTTAATGTATGAGCACTTAAATTCAAATTATTTTTGGTGATTTTCAAGTTCTTGACTGCAATACGCGCGCCACGACTGACACTCATGTTACTGACTGTCGGACTTTATTCTAAAATTACATAATTATATAATTTACTACTGAGAAGCATCGTAAGAAAAATTATACCACCTCTCCTACTAATAAAATGAAATAAAATTATTTATTTATTACTCGGTTTTTATGTAGCCTTTATATACCTCTTACTTACCAACCTATTGTGCCACTTTATACGTTTTTCATACGGTTTGTGTGGGCATGTACTCCACGTCACGACGTCGTCACCGTGGAAGGTGCGGTAACGTGCCACGTTACGTTGCCGCAACGTGCCAGTGCACGATACCGCAAAGTCGCTGTGGTTACACACAATATGTCGTTGTAAGAGTGGACGTGAAGAATTAGACTGCCTATAAAGACCTGTCCGCATTTTCACATACAAAGCTTTTTCACCCTCTAGTGTATGGGTCTGGGACTGGGATGCCGTCTCCTCCTTTTGCGAAGCAGTCATGCTAGCTAAGGAGGAGGCGGGACGCGTGAGGCAGCGAAACGCTGCCTCTTCGCAACCCAGCCATCGTGAAGGACACACCGGGCGTCGGGGATCGCGAGACGATCTCCGGCCACCGTAAGCGCGGGCCTGCGGACGGCGAGCATGGGTGGCTCCCCGTCCGACCAGAAACAGACCCGAGCGTATGGCGCGTCGCGTTCCGCGCGCGCCTTAAAGAGCCATCAAACCACCACAGATGGGGCCCAATACGGCCGATGCCGATTCAGAGTCGCGGAGAACCTAACGGGTAACCGGGGCTCCACTCGACGTGCAGGAGAAGGAACGGGGTGGTTTTTAGTCAGTAAGAGTCTGACACTCCCTCCCGCCTCACCCAGGCGGGAGCAGTCATTCGATGATTTTCCCCCCTAAAAAAAAAAGTGTATGGGTCTCTTAATGTACGTTAATCAAGAACAGGTAACAGAATTATAAGGGCAGGGCGACGTACATTACGTCACACTAACGTAACTTGATAAGTTACCGTACCGTCCTACGTTGACGACCTCATGTCGTGGACAGGACAAGCCCGGAGCGCAAGCAAACTGGATTTGAGTACATTTATCCCACTAGTCGCCAGCTTTGAATCGAAAGGTGAATATGATAAAAAAATATAATATAATATAAATCAAACTTAAATGAAACTTTGCACCATACTAGGTTTTTTCTTGCGTCGTGGAAGCGTTAATGTGCCAGGTATACGCACTTGTTTGTTCTCCTAGCGTGGCATGGACATAATAACATCCAATATCGGTTTACACACAAGTTCGCATACACAATACACTCAGACCTGGAACAACAATTTGTGGATCAGACGGTGTTGCTGCTTGCGAGTATACTTTGTTGTTATTATCTAAGTTTAGAGATCAACTGCAACTTTACCTATACCAGGAGGTTAAAAAGTTATAGAGAGGGTTGAGTTCGCTGATTGACTCCGCAATAGCCGATTTATTGGAAAATATTATTTCTACTTATAATGGTTCAGTTTGTACTGTGTAATATTAGTAGTGTAAGAATGTCGTTCGATGACCTCAACCTAAACTTTCAGTCTATACGAACATATTTTTCAAAGAAATTCTGGTAATATTGCTCGAATTAAGGTTTTATAAGCTTTTAAAGTTGCATCGAAGACGAAAGCGAACCTGAAATTTGGCCTCTACTATCACAGTTTCTGTGGTGTAGTGGTTATCACATCTGCCTAACACGCAGAAGGTCCCCGGTTCAATCCCGGGCGGAAACATCCAAATCTTTTGCTGTTTTGAAATATATCTTACAATTTTGCGAACATTTCGTATTTTTTTTTGATGTACCTGTATTTGCATTGCATATTCTTCGAATATTATAACGTTACTTTGTGCTAACAAGAAAAATGAATATATGTTTGGATTAGTTTTGAAACAATCAAAGATATTTTTTAAAATAATATACTAGAGCACGGCTACTAACTTTTAAATATCTATACAAGACAAACATAAAGTAAATAGGTACTTACCGTAATTAAATTCTAAAAATGTTTCATATCTCATTTAATATGAGAGTTAACAGTTCCATCTATTAGTAACTGCGAGCATTCACAACGACACTGGAATTAAGGGAGGGTTAAAAGAGGGTAGAAACGGGAGGGTTGAGTGTCGTGAGGGTTGAGTGTCGTGAGGGTGGCTAAAAGTTCTCTATTATATTCCTAGATGGCTCTGTCGGTCACAATCACGTACACGATAGGTACATTTTTAAACTTAAAAATATTATTTGCTAGCTTTAACCCCTAACCTAAAATAAAAGAATGTACTGCGATACGATATGAAAGTCCGTTTATTTCTTAAGTCCACTAGGCAGCATTAGGCTTGTAATATTATTATGTTGCACATAATAGTGTTCTCTTCTTAATGACTAAACTTCAAAATGTCTCTAGCTTCTTAGAGACAAGAATACAGAGGGAATGGGAAATTTTAATCTTACTAAAACCTCTTAGGTGCCGTTTGATTTATGAGACACCACGTCAGCAAGATTTGCGAAACTTTTGATTAAAACACTAAAAACGCTAACACTGTCTACATAATGATGATGACAACATGTCACTAAAGGAACAATACATATTTTGTTCCCGCTGACGCGACTCGGCGACGTTCTGTTTGGTTAGATTTCTTTAAACTTTAGAGATAAAATTAAGAGCCCCGCGCATCGGGCTTAGTCAATCTAGATGCGTAAAAATTAAATTTCCCTTAATTTTTAGGCATTTATCATAATTATAAAAAAAATGTGATTTACTCAAACGATAAAAAATAAATCATGTTATTCATTTTTACACTTTGAATGTATCATGGGTATTTTATTGCCTGTTGCATTCCTAGACTTGGTCGGACTGGCGATATTAGCGCAGTGGTACCATGAGCTGTAAACGGGAAAATAATTCGAAACAGTACATTTCACTTGTTTATTCATTTTCAAATACAATAACATCTATACAATGGTCTTCTACGACTAAATGTTTTTCATTATTATTGACACATGCATTATAACGAAAAATGTTTTATAATTACCTTAAAAATAAACAGAGCAAAATTTTCAAAATATAAATAAATAAATAAAATCAAAATCTAATGACTGAAATCTTTTTGCAAATCACGATAATACTTAGGTAGGTAATTCTTATGTTAACTAAAATTATTATTCTAAAAACATTTTAGTCTAAATAATTATGACTGCTAATATTTAGCTGTGACATTTAAATTGATTATCATAGATACATAATACTAATTTATTTCTCACTCAACGGGGCATCTCATGCTAGTTTGCACATATTATTAAAATAAGCCCAAATCTTTACAAACTGAGCTTAGTATTTATTTCGATCAAAAATGTCCAGTCAATGAAGGAACTTTAAAAAATAAGAAGTAATTAATGAATTACAGTTTACAAAAAATGTTATTTGTTGAAACCTAGCATGAAGATACCCAATGCAAAATCATGTTCGAACCACAGACCAATCTAAACATTCAAATCAAGATTTAAAATAACTATGTATACAGTATTTGTGGTGCATGATTACAACTATTTGAGGGATTCGAGCTGCATCAAATGTTTTATTCAATATAGTTTCTAAGTCATTGTGGTCCTTCACCAAAACGACCCTCAAATATTTTAGTAAACTCATACACCAAATGTTCTGTATAAAATAATACAATAATTACTATTACAATAATATAAACAATAAATTACACGAAGAGTTCAAATCTAAACTATTACTAATACGATTGCACTTTTTTAAAATAATCTAACATTATATACACGTCTATTACTTCACAGTATTTGGTATTATTAGGTACAATAAAAGGTAACATTGGTAACTAACTAATATTTTAATACTTTTCGAAGATCATAATAAAAAATATAAAAGAAGGAGTTTTTTATATGGGAATGAGTTTGATTATAAGGATAAAATAGGAATTGTGTTTGTATTGCATTTAAACTACGCTACGTTCAGTATAAAGAATCATAATATATGTAGATAATATAGTTACGTAAAATTCAAAATCACATTCGAATGTCGTTTTTATTCTTTTTTTTACGAAATATTTGAAACTTTTACCACTCAGACAGTCGTTTTAAAACGTACCTCGAGATACTGAGATAAATAAAGCAATTTAATATTTTGACACTATTTTTAAATGAAATCCGGTAGAATGAAGACCGGTAGAACGAAGATAGCCATGGTAATGTAGTATACGTACAGACGTATCTACCAACGTAGATAGAAGCCATGGTAAGTTTACTGTTCTGGCTTAGAAATTTAATAAATTATTGCTTCTATAATACTGATAATAATTATGTACAAAAGAGGTTAGTCACTGTACTTATGTATTTAAACCACGGCAATTCGATAAAATCAAGATGGACGATTTTTGCCCATGCACTAAATGGCACAAAAAATTTGAGCTTAGTTTTTATTTTTCAAAACGAATTTGGATTTTAATAAAAATACTTACTTTAGATATACCTCATAATATCTTGGCTTACAAGTTAGTTAATTATTTTACATGTTTATTAATACTGGGTATATTGCCGCCCAACGTTTAACTATACGTGGCGAATGTGCTTAATTTTTTTGAGTACCGAATACTTTTCTGAGCTAATTTTGCAATAACTTCGTTAAATAAAACTAAACATTCGACTGGTAATTATAGTCAATCATTTAAGTCACCTCAACGTGCTATAGGTGAAACCAGATTTAGAAAGTTTGATTTTACATATAAAACTAATGGAATGTTGTTAGTCAAATTATTCAATAGAGATCTTTAAGTCTTCATATAATTATATGAATGTACGTTATTGCAAAAAACTGATCAGCTTATCAGCAAGAAGTATTCGTTATTTTTACAATAATTTTCATACGACCAATAATTTTTTTCATTATTTTTTTTTATTCTATATAAATAATTCTACTTAATTGTAAAGAGTATCTATTATTTACATCATTCTTTGATAAAAAGACTAGTTTTGCGGTCCACCTGACTCGTGACGAAAAAAATATTGCATCGTGTAACTTAAATACAAATGCCAGTACATCAACTTGCCATAAACTGATCGACAAAATTTTCTTCAAGATTTTCAATTTTATTTCTACAAAGCAAGATATCATTTTAATTTTATTCAAAAGTTTGTCAGATTGCGTAACTTGATATACTGGCATGAGTACACTCGTACATATTACATCATTCATAAAAAATAACTAAAAAACTTTGTCACAGGAATGTTAGCAAAATAAATAGAAAGAAACAACTATTAGACAAAGTTGAAATAAATAATGATAAATAAAATTTAAAAAGTCAAACAATTATTTAAAAATAGAATTATATCAAAAAATATTCATATAATTAAATTGTTCCATAATTAAAATTGCAAATCATTGTCGATTGTCGTCGTTTTTCTTTATCTTGGTCATGCGTAGTGCGGGTAGGAGCCGAGGTGTGACGTCACATGAGGTGGGGCCATAGAGTGTGGTGAGTATAGATTACTGCCCCCACCGCCCCAGTTACCCCATGACGCAGATGGGAATATCGACGCTGAAACAAAAGTTTTCTTACCTCAGTTATTAAGTGCTTGAGGACGCGCACAAAAGCGTACTAAACTTGGAAAACTAAAATTGTTTATTTCTCATTTTGTGTTTAAGTCTCTAAATGCCATCAGTAAATTGATTACAACAAATCTTTAATTATAACATAATTTTTTTTTTTGTATAGTGTTGGGGGTGTTTCGTCTCATGATAAAACTTCAATGTAAAGGTCATTTGATTTCTTTGCACCAGCCAACTAAAGTCACTTCAAAGTTTAGTACGCTCTCGATAATTTCCACAAAAACAATTCATTAAAATTTAAAGTTAGCATAGCACATAAACGCAATTTAGAATAATACCAAAAAGGGTTATTATCGTCTTTCATATCAATCCTAAACATTGGAACTGAGTGAACTTTAGCTTTAGAAAAAAATAAGATTTATTTGCTCAAATAAAATTTATTCTATGGCGACGTCTTTTCTGTTGGTGACAAGTACTGTAATTAAAGATGTTGAATTATTGTCAAATCGGGTTTAGAACAGATATCTATAATTATTAATAAAATTAGAATCTATAAATTTATCTTTTTGTGAAAGTAAACCTGTGAAAAAAAAAAATAGTAAAAATTAGATAGTAAGCCATACAGGCTTACAGCGTCGTATGACGCTATGTTAACAAGAGATTAACAATATAATCCCATTTTATTATCCGATTAAAACCTATACGTAGAATTTTCGTAATAAAATCCTGTACTGTAGGTAAGTATACTTTCAATTTCGAATAATTGACAATAATCCATTACATTTTTTTTTTTCATTTAAATGTTACCGAATTTCACAATTAGCCTAAAAAAATTTTACACAAAGGATGGTTCAATAAATTACGAATGTTATAGTTTGACAAAAAATCCTTGTCAAATACAATGTTGTAACACATCTGCGTATGGTAAAGTAAATGTTACTGAAAATTCCAATACGGTACACTGTCGAGTTTAAATAGTATGTTGCATTAAGTCAAGTGTGCTCAGTCCGTGCCAATGACAACCCCTTTCGAGCGGCGTGCAAATATTTGTGCACGCAAGTGTACCGAAGCATTAGCAGAGAAATGTAGATTACCAGCACAACAGTGTCGAGTTGTTGGGGTCGTGAATTCCGGACTCTTTTTTAATATAGTCTGAGATTAACTTTGGGTTGAAAGATAATTTAGGATAAGTTAAATGAAGTCAGCTTTGACGTGAAAGTATAGTGTCGATTACAATTTTTAATATAATATGAATACAGCTGAGCTACAATAATATTCAATCACATTAAAACAAATCGCTGGAGCACATCGCTTTCAAATAAATATTACCTGTGGATGTAGGCATAGCCGCGTGTGGAGCCATGAATGACGAGAGCTTAGCCGAGTGGTGGTATGAGCTCATGAACAGATCACTCTGGTACTTATAAGCTGGATCACTCGCCGCCGGCTGCGTGGCCGCCGCCAAGCCTTGGAAATCGAATTTGTAGGCGTACCTCTTGCCATGAACCTTTGTCATTATGTTTTTGTCGTAGTAATATCTGTGTAATTGAAAAACAATTATCAAATAAATGCATCTGATTGGAAGTCAACTTAAAGTTGACGGTCGCAGGTCTGAGAAAATATAAGATCACTAATTAAACAAAATCGCATAGCATTAAAACGTCGCGCTGGAGAATAAGGGTACCCTGTAAGTCGCTAGGGCTCGCTGGTTGTTGCTACCGATGGTTTACCTCAGAGCTCGGCTCAGCTTGTCGTAATTCATGTTTGGCTTCGACTTCCTCTCCCCCCACCGACGCGCCACCTCGTCAGGGTCCGTGAGCTTGAACTCTCCATTAGTCCCCTCCCATGTGATGCAGCCAGCGTTGCTCGAGTCACTTAGCAGCTCCAGAAGAAACTGCCAGAGCTGAATTTGTCCTGAGCCTAGAATCAGATAAATTTCATTTACAAGTTGTACTTACAATAACGTAAACACACATCTTATTAAGGTGAACAATAAAAACAGATTAAAAAAATCAAAACAGTCTGTACACAACCTACTGATAGACTGATGTGTTTGCACACCCCATATTATACTACAGCTTCGAAACGACTTGTGGCTAAACTGACTATGGCACGACTTAGCATACATGACCTAACGCTTGGTCCAACTGAATTCTTCAAACTTAGATTCCGGTATTTTTTTAAGCCCACACAGTCTTCTTTATATTCTTTTTAGTAATTATGCGGATTTTACCTGTCGTCTAGAACACCGAAAATGGACATGCCGCTATTGCCTAGCCGTCGGCGTCGGTGGCTGGTGGCTATATAACCCTTATCCCGTCGCCACACAAGCCTTCTGCGTGCCGTCCCGTCGGCGCCGTTATGATACCTATATTCACTAAACACCTTTCAGTATAGCTCATCCACCTCACTAAGTCCTAATAGTTCTATTATATGTCGATGTATATATTTCTTATAATAATAATTCGATAAACATATTAAAAGTAAAATGCTGATAAAGCTAAAATTCACGATTAATTTCCGAACCAAATCACGTATACACGCGTTGCTCACTAGTTCATAGAAATGTCAAAAATCAAAAAGACGCACACAATAAAATCGGTGCTTCCCACACCGGTGGATAGTTGGAGCTAATGGGCAGGGTTGGAGCGACTATATTGGGTGGTGTGTTACATCCGCGCACGACTGCCGACGAGTGCACCCGTGTGGAACCGCCCTTGTAAGGGAAGCACAAATGATTTAGATACGGTTATTTTTGAAAGGCGCCTTAGGGGAGACTTCTCGCCTTAGCGACCCTTAACCATTATGTGGGATCACTGAGACTCGTATTACTAATAAATTCATATGGAATCTAACATTAGAAATTGTGTACTATTTGATTATCATTTTAATCAATTATTGCGTAATTCATAAGAAAGTATAAACACCAAACTCTACTGAAACATAGCAAACTCCTCATTGATTTTAAAGAACTCAATGTTTTTTGCAAAACTACAAATACGATCAAGCAATCTTGTCCATCAGATAATTAGCGAAACATCTAGATATATTTCTGATTACACCCTAAAAGCACATTTGTTATACGGACTGTATACTAAGGGTGGGTGCACACGAGCGTGGCTTCATGTGATTTATACGAGGATCGACTCTTACGTCACAACGTTTGTAGCGGCGCATCTCGCCTCGCTTGATCCATTGTTGGATGTATGGCTCATCGATTTTATGACTCACAATTAATGCCTCGATCGGCAAAATATTGTGCTCCCAGCCTTACGATGGCTATAGGAGGTGGTCGCGTGGGTAACATACGCTTTTGAGATTTATAGTCATGTATCTCTTTACACTCAGGGTGGAGCTGGAGAATCTTCAATGTCAAATTTATAGAAGTCTTATGGCAATTTGCTCATGACTAGAAATTAAGTAAAACGTAGAAAATATTACAGAAAAATTAATAATTTAGCAGTAAAAAATTTGTTAAAAAAATCAAGTGTTGTTGTTCTACTACTCACAGTAACCACGAAGTTCACCGCCGGTCTAATGGTACAGTATCGACGTATAAGTCGTATAAACTAAACTAAGGTATAAATTATACGAAAAAAGATCAGTCAATAGTCAGTCAGCACCAAGCTAGGGCTACCACAATCGCGTGCACAGGTGAGGTGCGGCAGTAATTACGAGTCAGGGTTGGCACGTGGCTCTAATTGTTTTTCCTTCGACGGCGTGTGCGCAGGGCAAGATTTACTGTCAGTAAATTATACGGTTTGATTTAAAGGTGCGACGGTGCTGGGACCCTGTGTAATGTGTAATCGTTTTCATGATCAAATGTGAACGTGTTTTCATTGCTTTAGGTAATCTAAAGAAATCGTATAAGTAAGTAATTGCACTGTACTGGACCGTATACCATGGTAAGATTATTAAATTGAATACATTTTATACTACATTCTTAATTATAAATGAGGGCGTATTAAGTTGGACGTGTTCCATATTGATGTCAGACACTTTACACTGTAACTCCTAATGGTGTTTGACACTTTTAGAGATTTGACAGTCACTATTTTTTACTTAGCAATTGAAATCTAAACCCATGTGCTTATATGACCTGATAAATTAATGAAATGGATCCTCAAGAAGTGTATAGACAGCCGGCGGTAGTTCATGTTTACTTGACAAAGAGATTGTAATTGCAATTTTATTGGTGGGCCATATGACCACTATCTCACCTGATGGTAAGCGATAATTCATACAATGCTATCGTCATCTTTCAAAACATCGATTAAACAATAAAAACAGCTGATACAAAAATGAAACGAATCTAATGAAATCTAAAACAGCTGGAAATTGTATGCCATGAGAAAAAACCACCCTACGATTTAATTCTACTTAACATTGTTATTTAACATGTAGGGTTACCCTATATAAATAATTTCCCTTTCGATATTGCCATAATAACGTGTGATTTACATATATCTAAGTGTTGCAAGTTATGGGTCACGCATTTCACATTGTGACTTGTGGAGGGTTAATCGTGGAGATAATCGAAGGTAATTTTAATGTATTTTTTCTTTATAGCTTCCTAATAATTAACTGAGTGATTTGAAGGTCTTTGAAGAAGATGACGTTTAGCAGTGATAGATAATAAAAATGTTGAAAAAAAAAAATAGCGAAAAAGAAGCCAATATAAATTAAATATTATTCTCCACTCCAGTCTTATAAATGAATGTGAAATTAATTTTTGTACAGATATCGGCAACACATGTATGCAGCAATATTTATATAGATATAATAGAATAATAATACGACTGGAAAGGTATCAGAAAACGGTAACATGAATGGTTCCCATGAAGGGTATGAACATGAGCATGCCAATATCGCGTACTATGTCATGACGTTGCCGGTGTTGCCACGCTCCATGGCGTTATCAATCGCATTGCATGTCACATTCACGGTTTTAAGACTTGTATCGAAAATATACTGAGTTGGCACTGCGAGTTTTTTGAAGGACTTTCGTATGGAGCGCGCTGAATACAGGGCGCTTTTAACCAGCTGTTTTGGAACTTATTGAGAACGACTTGCATTTACCTTATAGTGGAGATACGTAAAAATTACCATACATCAACAGCCTATAAATGCCCACTGATGAGCTAAGCCTCTTCTCACACGGAGACGGTTTGAGCATTAATCACCACGCTTGCTCAATGCGGGTTGACAATTTCCAACTAATAATTAGAAATTATAAGCCTAGGTTTCCTCAAAATGTTTTCCTTCACCGTTTGCTAGATCTGAATAATCTTAAAAGTCCATATAACTCGGAAAAAGTCACGTAGATACTTGCCGTTGGTAGGTTTCAATCCCGCGATAGGATGAGAAATGGGCTTATGTAACACTGCAGTTACAATTACAGTGGGAATCGTCAGAGCGACTAAGGACTACCCGTTATTATAGATCGGGCAAGCACACCCTGCAAATAGTTTAAAAAGCGATCTTCCCCCTATCAATGTGTAAATCATAGTTTCCCATGGGCTAAGTGAGCTGCTGAACTGAAGATGATAGTTCTAAGATCTCTACCACTATGAACCTTGTTATTGTTCCCGCAGAGATATTTTTACTTTTACTTAATTTACTTAACCCCACAGTAAGTCATGGTAATAAGTAACATTTAATGACTCTTTGGTCCCTACCAAAGTATTGGGGGCCCGTTATCGAGATCTCGCGTGATTTTCTTGCGAGTACTGGTCACCCTATTTTCTCACAGGTCACCTGACCCCTTTAACCTCTGAAATCAAAGTTAATTTGCTACTAGTATGGTATGAATCAGGTAGTCTTTGTAATAGGGTTTTGATTGGTCATTTCATCAATATGTATATGTACTTAAGTAATTATTTAAGTACGTACGGATTTATATTCATTAAAAGATCACAAAAGATATTTGAATGAATGATTAAACCCTTTTTTGGGGGGAAAAATCATCTTATGACTTCTCCCGCGTTGTGCGAGGCGAAAGTTTGAACTCTTACTGACTAAAAATCACCCTGTTCCTACTCCTACTCTAAACCAGAACCCCGATATGCTATCCGCAGCTCCATATATGAATTAATGCCCATAAGAGCATTTTCTGCAGGCGTATAAATAATACGACTGAGAAACTGCACATTCTATTAAGACATCACTTTATTTTTGGGAAGCTCGGAGAGGAGTATTCAGAAACGAAGGCGCAGTTCAACAGTTTTATCCATGGTCCTCAACACAGACGTCATACCTCTGGTGGCGTCGATGTAGTCAAGGTCCGGTGACAACTTACCAATACACTGCCTTAAGTTGGTACCAATAGTTGACTACTCACTGCCAATTTCTCAATATTCAAAATATTTATAATTATTAAGATCATTTTTGATATTAGTTCTATAGAATTTCGGTAAAAAATTAACATCAACTCATAGATTTTTTATGCAATATCGGTTATTGAAATCGGCAGGGAAATATTAGGTTGAGATGTATTCTGTACCTACGTTTTCCTTCGTAATTTAAAGTCTCACCTGAGTTTGCTAGCCGACTGCTTGTAGGTCCAAACATTTGATATGGATCTGTAACAATTTAATTCAATTAATCATTAATATATTACAAATGATGCTGCTGATAAAATGTCAAGGGACAAAGCCCACCTAGCTGAAGAGACTTAGACAATTTTGCACATTCTGGTTAACCTAATCTAACCTATCTATTTTGAGTATATCAGTGTGTATTCCAGTGTCTCTTGCAATACGAGCAGCTTGACAGCGAGCATCTAACACCAGGTACAATCTTAAGCTCTGCACCGACTTAGACTATTTGCAAAAAAACTGTACATCAAAATATAAGACTCGGTTATAGGACTCGCCACCATATATCTGCTGGACTTTCCGTATCTTCCTTTAAAGTTTAGAATTAACTTTAAGTTGATTTACTTGAATTCCTGTATTCTACGTGGAGCTACTCTTATTTGTCCTCCATAAGCCATAAAATACTATTTAATACAATCGTTGGATCCAAATTACAATGCAAACGATCTAAGGTTATCTGCACACCGCCTTATCGCGCAAGTGACAACAATCTCAGATATTTAGACAAGTCACGACAACTATTGTCCCATTCGCGCCTTACCGTAGATCACCAAGCATTGTAAAAGATAACCGGTTACCATGACAACTTAGGCGCCAACAATGCCGACCGAAAAAACCCAGATACATTGCATAGATTGCATTACAAGTAGGTATAATGAGCGGAGTGTGCAACTATCTCAATTTGCATAGATAGTCGGCCGTCCGCGTCAGGCAGACGTCGACAGTGTGTCGGTGGCCTTACACGCTTTGAATAATTTTGTGATATATTTTCGTTATGTTTTACATTATTGTTGTAGTTTGCTTGTTAGGAAATTAAGTTAACTATGTAGAAAGTAGATTGTAGAAATTATTTAGCACTAAATTTCTATTGAAGTTTAACTATTTACAACCGTTTAAGATTGTTTTAAAGTTGTCATTCCTACAAACTACACATAATAATTCGCACATACATATGTGTAATATTTTGTGAGAAGATAGATGGCTGATGAATTAGTTTTAAGTACCTAATTATATTTATTGTACTTTTTATATAACATACCTATTACATAAGTGTAAAATAGTAAATAAGTAAAAAAAAATATTGTTCAACTGTATAATTTTTTTTTATTTATTTAAAATGCTTCATGCACAAAATGTACAAAAAGGTGGACTTAATGCCGCAGGCATTTTCTACCAGTCTGACCTTTGGGTGATGCAGAGAAGAGTAAATGGTAGGTGCAAGAGGCAAGCAGTGATTTTATTTAACAATGAAAGATAAACTAATATATTTGTTTTGCCTTGTGCTGTAAAACTATACATGTGCTTATAAATAAATAAATACATAATGTATTCATGTGATTTCTGTTGTACACTCAGTACAGTCTTACACTCTGTTAAAACAAATCATTAAAATCCGGTCACTCTTTCTCGAGAACTTACACAATTAGCAGCTTATACACTCATGAATCATTGCGTGCTAAATGATATGTGGAGAAGGTATACCTACTAACTATAAGAATCGCCTGATTAATATCTAATAAAACTTTTATTTTCAAACACACAGCCACATAAAACGTCTATTCAATATTAATACCTAGTCCTGAGTCAATACGCTTCCATTCTCTTTGTACAATTCCGCCCTCAGTTCAGAATCGACCATAAAAAATCGCCCTCATAATTTCATACATACGAGCGTCGACTATGCAAATTATAGTAATAATTCGAATGGCACATTCAAATTGAAACAATGGCGCCCCCTAACGACAGTTCTCGCCTTTTGTTAATGCTTTAATGAAGTGGCGATAGTAATGACACTCGATCTGGACTATAAAGCAACCTCGACGTAACGAATCAACCCTCGACGAACTATTTAAAATGCAATTAATAATGGAGACGCATTTTTGAGCTATTGTTTACCATTTATATGTCTACGGCTTTTGTTTCTGAAGTGCGTCCGTCGTTTCCCATTTTATAATTTGCAGAGATAGTGACCCACTTTCGTAATAACTAATATAATTATAATAACAATCTGAATTAATGTAATCCCCGAAATAGGAACATAATGATACAAAATAACATCTATATTTCACTAGATACGTTATATATCCTTTTTTTTGTTCTTTTTAAAAAACGTTGCCCCACATTAGGATCTTCTCCTGTGTCGTGGGTGCGTTTACAAACATACAAGTTCACATACACATGACAACCAGACCCGAAACAACAATTTGTGGATTACACAAAGTGTTGTTCCGTGCAGGAATCGAAACCGCGACACGTTGCACGTCAGCCGGTTGCCTAGCCACCGCACCAACCATGCAGTCAAATATAAACATGAGTCTCTTCTACTACCATAATAGGAGGTATCAATACAGGCCGATAAGCTTTCGGTGTCATATAGTTTGGATTGTGGTGTCAGACAAGGAGGGATAACGTCGCCTAAGCTTTTTAATCTCTATGTCAATGACCTGATCGTTGAGCTCAGCAGCAAGAAAATCGGCTGTCGCATAGATGACGTCACAATCAATAACATAAGTTACGCCGACGATATGGTGCTGCTGAGTCCATCGGTCAGGGCGCTCAGGGAACTGCTGAAGTGTTGTGAGTCCTATGTTCATGCACATGGCTTATTGTACAATGTCGCAAAAAGTGAGTTCCTGGTTTTTAAGGCGGACGGTGGTAAATGCCCTGAATCCGTGCCCGCAATTACACTGAACGGAAATGAACTACAGAGGGTCTACCAGTTTAAGTACTTGGGGCATTACGTGACCGATGACCTTAAAGATCAGGTGGATATTGAAAGGGAACGTAGGGCGCTGACAGTCCGATGTAACATGTTGGCACGGAGGTTTGCACGTTGTAGCGAGCCAGTCAAGATAACGCTTTTTAAAGCTTATTGCCAGGTGTTCTACACGTGCAGCCTGTGGACCAAATACACGCAGCGGACTCTCAGCGCCCTGCGGGTCCAGTACAATAACGGATTTAGGATGTTGATGGGGCTGCCCCGACACTGCAGTGCATCTGGTATGTTCACCCAGGCACACGTTGATGGCTTCCAAGCCATCATCAGACAGAAGTCGGCCTCATTGCTCTGTAGAGTGCGGGCCAGCTCCAACTCCATCCTGAAAACGATAGCAGGGAGGTACGATTCTCCTCTAATTTATGACATTGTTCGTAGATGCATCACGAGCAATAAGCTAGTTTCTAAGTAGCACGTAATCATTGGTATCGGTGATGTTGTTCGTGGATGCATTTACGAATAGCAAACTTTTTTACTAATTAATTACTAAAGTGTACTAACATAGATATAAGTTATTTCTACTAATAACCTATGGATGCTTCTGGTCCGAAATAAAGAGTATTTTATTTTATTTATTTATTTATTTATCAAACTTCTTGCCATATATTACGGAAATCTGAAAATTAATCCATAATTTTCTGACCGACCTGGGATACACAACCGAGATCACTCAATCAACAAGGCAGTCAGTTTCATCAACATTAAACTACATTAATCAGGCAAATAAATCGTGTAATATTAAAAAGTATTTTTACCGAACGGAATAAAACCATAAGAAGTAAGTTAACGTGGCATAATAATGGTTTTTTATTTCCATAACCAGTCATGATACAAAATAATAGTAAAGTAGAACATTTTAAACCGTAGTAACATTTCCTGAACACAGTTTTTTAACCATACTATTTGCATAATGCACTGAAAATAATTTCGTTCCATGGTAAAAGCTTGCAGTAAAAGCATGGTAGCTTAGACTAACAATAATTGTCTGACAACTTCACAGGTAAGTGATATAAATTATAATGCATCGCAAAACTTTTTAAACTGTTAATATACAAATAACTTGCAAATATTACCTACTAATGTCTGACTCAGTACCTAAACAATAAATTAAAATATTTCCTAGGTGTAATTTTAGAAAAAGCTATTCAACTGACTTTAACGTTAAAATATTCTAAAAATACTGTACCTTGCACAAGTAAATTTTCTAATAATTCACTGTTAAAATGCACTATTAAAACACACAACAGAAACCTATTTTACAAGTAATATACAAACAATATTATTCAAGCCCCTTTTGTCCGATATCCATAATGGAGGTAGTTATGGAACATATCAGATTATAATATTGCATGGTCGAACACCACATCGATCTATCGTCAAGACGGAGGTATTTCAAAGACTACATTTGATCTAAATAAATGGGGATAATCAAAGCTAAACAAAACCGTTTAAAGAGATCCGTCGGAATGCTGAGCAAAGTCCTCCTACTTAGGAAAGGATTTAACCTGATCCCCAGTCTTATGTTATGTTATGTTATTAGTTTGGGTATTAAAATCTAACCGAAATGTGGTGATAGAACGTATCTAGCGATTAATTATTAAGTGATAAAGTCGCTGTCGCTTGTAATTGCACCCAACAAACGAAAATGATACTAAGCTCTGAACTTATGAACACGCTAGCGTGATTTGAAAACAGTACCTAATTGTGTAATGCGCTAATAATACGTTAAAATACATATAACACCCCTTCCCTCGCGGTTCTGTCAAAAGTGGACTTGATACCAAGAATTTTGTATTTTCTTCTTTAGAATAAGTAATGTCCATAGAGTAGTTATAATATTCCATGAATGAAGTAGGTACAATTGAAACCATATTATACCAGGCACAAGACATCTAACGCTGATCTTGTGGTTCCCGTCCAGACGTCAGTGAAAGCATTCAGTGTTCTCTATTAGGCCGTTGGCCGTCGGGAGGATTACTGACACTCACCAAAATATTGCGACTCGAAAGACCCAATAAACAATATACTTTCCCACCAGCTTATTATTGATGCTTAATTACTCTGTTGATATGTATGTACATAGTTCATTAAAGTAATTTTGACAAAAAGTATAGTTATGCAGTACTTACATATAGTGACAGGAGTAAATAAAAATGAGGCTAAATACAAGGTGATTTGCAATATGAATGCAGCGGAAGAAAAGCCTATT